ATTTTGATAATATATAAATGATGTGATTGACATAAACTATATGATCTAGAACTCCATCTTCAGACCAACACTCATAAAAGACTGAACCCCATAATAGACAAACACATTTGAATATGAACAAATGTACATGTTTTAAGACAAATTTTTTTTTAATGATTCTCACATGGACCATTTTTGATTAACTGCGTTTTTTAAATTTTTTGAGACGGAGTCTTGCTCTGTTGCCCAGGCTAGAGTGCAGTAACATGATCTCCGTTCACTGCAAGCTCCACCTTCCAGGTTCATGCCATTCTCTTGCCTCAGCCTCCAGAGTAGCTGGGACTACAGGTGCCTGCCACCACGCCAGGCTAATTTTTTGTATTTTTAAGTAGAGATGGAGTTTTACCGTGTTAGCCAGGATGGTCTTGATCTCCTGACGTCGTGATCCTCCTGCCTCGGCCTCCCAAAGTGCTGGGATTACAGGCGTGAGCCACCGTGCCCAGCTGATTAACTGTGTTAAACAAGAGGGCTTCTAGCTATAGTTGAAAGTAAAGCAGGCTAATGCAGTTTGAATATAACATTGTGGATTAAACATTAAGGTGCAAAGTTAGATTTGGAATATAAGCATGCCTGGAAGGACAGAAGAGTAATTTTGTTCGGGTGCAATCAGCATCTGAATTTCTAGCCACCCTTAATTGCTTGGGTAGCATAACCATCAAACTCCTGGTCACCCATGAAATGAAATTAGGCTGCCTGCCACTACTGGACAGTGGTGGTCAGGTTGCCTCTCCACCAACACGATGGCCCTAAGTCAGAGGCTAAGTGGCCTTGGTCATGCTTGTGGTGGCTTTGGTCTCTTTGCTCCCGGTTGAATGGATTCGTGTTTCATAAGCAACATCCTGCATGAGATCCTAATTTATCTTGTGACTCCAATGTATGCTCATGAATACAGTTGTCCAGTCACAGCATTCATAATATCTAATTCTGATCCTCTAAAGGAAAACTGAATACCAAAAAGGGACTCTCTTCCACTTGCTTGCTAGGTTGGACTCCCACAATAATACCTTCTCTGACCTTGTTTGGATAGACACTCTGGTTATGGGACTTGGTTTGCTTGTTTTCATTCATTAATTCAAAGTATGAATCCTTTAGTCTACTCCACAGTGACCTGCAAATTGAGGATGACTTCCCCATCATAATCCTAGTCCACACATTCAAATTGTCCACTAGTTTAAATAAACAGATTCAACATTTTTAAAGAACCTGATCAAAATGTGTTGCCTATCTCCTCTTCCTAAAGAGAATGGTTAAAGATTTCTAACTTGAATGTAAGCAATCATACACACCACTCTCGGGATGCAGTCACTTCTTGCACTGTAGATTATTCTTTCCCACCGTAAGTGGATTCGAGGGAGCAGCATAGTGTAATGGTGAGGAGGAGGAAGAGGAAGAGAAGGAGGATAAAGAGGAGGAGGAGGAGGAGGAGGAGGAGGAGGAGCAGCAGCAGCAGCTTGGGAGTTAGCTGTTTGACTTTGAGCAAGTTGCCATCCTGTGCCTCAGTGTTCTCATTTGTAATGGGGTTTACAAATACGTTTACTATAAGGATTAATTTTCAAGCACACTGTTACTGCTCCATAAACATTTGTTCTTCCGAAGATCCAACAGTCCAATTTCTACGCTTTCCACGTATATTTGTTGAACCTTCTAGATTACCTAACTTTTACTCTAATTTTTTTAGCTAATTATAAATGATAGAGAAGACATATTTTCATTTTATGCATTTAGAATATAACATGGCATAATTAACATTTTCTTATTAGTATCTTACCAGAATAATTTATTATCTCCTCAAACAGTTTAATAAAGTCCACTTTATTTTAAAATAGAATTTTCATATCTATTGAGTAGACAATTTCTCTGTCTGAATGAATGCACATCTGATTTTATAATGAAATTTAAGGCAATGTACGCCATTAATGTATACACTTACTATGTACCCACAAAATTAAAAATAAAAATTTAAATAAAGAAACTCTTTTTTTAAAGGCAAACATGGGTTATGCTTAGTCAATATTTATATTTCCAAAAACCTTTCTTGGAATGTATTTAATTAATCAAAGACATATATGGTACCTGCAGTTTGACTTAATGAGGTCTTTACTTATCTTCTTAAGGTTTTTGTGGCCATTAAATTGGAAACAATTTAAGTACCTATCAGTAAGGAAATGATTGCATTTTAGCACATCCACACCATGAAATTCTAGTAATTTAAAATAACATTTTGATGACTTATTAATGACATAGAGAATACTCATAATGTTAAAAGCAGAATAGGCCGGGCGCGGTGGCTCAAGCCTGTAATCCCAGCACTTTGGGAGGCCGAGACGGGCGGATCACGAGGTCAGGAGATCGAGACCATCCTGGTTAACACGGTGAAACCCCATCTCTACTAAAAAATACAAAAAATTAGCCAGGCGAGGTGGCGGGCGCCTGTAGTCCCAGCTACTCAGGAAGCTGAGGCAGGAGAATGGCGTGAACCCGGGAGGCGGAGCTTGCAGTGAGCTGAGATCGGCCACTGCACTCCAGCCTGGGTGACAGAGCGAGACTCCGTCTCAAAAAAAAAAAAAAAAAAAAAGCAGAATATACAACATAATACAATACCCTCTTTTATTATCACACCAATGCTGTACCTTCTCATGACTTCAACCACCACCTGTCTGATCTCTATCTCTCACCTTTACATTTCTCCAGAGTACCCTTATTTCTAACTGCTTAATAGACTTAAAAGACTTTACCAGCCAGAAGTCTCCAAGATTATCAAACTTAACACATTGAGGATGAAACTGATATCACATCCACTCAGCCTCCCAAACCAGAAATCCTGAAGTCAAGCTCTCTGTTACTCCAATTCGATGAGAAACTAAGCACTGTGGCTTCTACTGCTGGAACGCCTAAATATATCTTCCAAAGCTATTTTATATATATATATTTATATATATATACACAAGCTATGTGTGTATATATGAGATATATATATACACACAAAGTGTATACACAAGCTATGTGTATATATATGAGCTATATATAAATACACACACAAAGCTATATATATAGCATACACACACACACACACACACACACACACACACACACATATATATATACAAGCTTGCACACTGTCACCCAGGCTGGAGTGCAGTGGCACGATCATAGCTTACTGCATCCTCAAACTCCTGGGCTCAAGCGATCCTGTGATCTCTGCCTTCCAAGTAGCTGGGGTTACAGGTGAGCACCACCATGCCTGGCTTGTTTATGTATTCCTATCATGGCAATGGATAATTAAAAAAAAATTCGTTTGTAGAGACAAGATATCCTTATGTTGCCCAGACTTGTCTCGAATTTCTGGCCTCAAGCGATCCTTTTGCCTTGGTTTTCTGAAGTGCTGGGATGACAACGGAACAACTTTTAAATGTCTCCCCCTTGGGTACCTACTCACTCTTCAGACCCATAGGCATCATATGAACTTTCTGGCCACACATGTGTAATTAAAATGAACATTTTCTGTAATTTTAGCAGATAGAAAAAGGAAGAGAATGAAAGAAGGAAAAAGTTAATATATGGCCCCTTATGTGGCTTTTTCAGATTAAACTCTTTGCAAAGTTCTGAATAAGTCAATGGGCAAAATGGGGCTTAGAGTACTTAAGTCATGTAGTTTAACTCAGATGAAAGATGGATGTAAATGTGGAGAAAGAGTACAGCTGTGTTAAATTGAGAGCAATGTGTTAGGCCAAATTATCCAGTAATTCCTTGACTTCATGAAAGATACATTCAGGGTCTTATTGCTCTCTGGGACCAAAAGTGGGTTGCTTGCCTTCTAATGTCTTAATTCCTTATTTGGCCCCTTGTAATGCTGGGACAATGATTAAGTGCCTGGACTCTGGAATTAAGCCTGGATTGAAATGTGGACTCCATTACTCACTAACTTTGAGGCTTTCATTCTCTCTGAGCTTCGGTTTTCTCACTTATAATATAGGAATAGTAAAACCTTTGTAGAGTTAGAGTGAAATAAACTGAATTTATGTATGTTCTAATTGTGCTTAGCACATATATTCAATAAATGGCAGTGGCTAGAAAATATCTTCCACTGTGTATGTAATATGGTCAACATGTATCCCTATTCCCTTCTTTTCTGAATGGGGAGAGTAGTGCAATCAGTAACATCCAGTAGTATGGGGACTTTGTTTCCCTGGAAGTGTGCAAAAACTACTTGCCATTTTGGATTGCTCTTCCAGTTCCAGCTTTATAGATGTAAGCTACTGTGTCTTCTCTAGTAATGGAATTTGAACACTGTCATTTCGATGTTTCTTTCTCTGAAGAGGAATTCCTTTTTTTTTTTTGAGATTTATCTAAATGAAGGAACTCAAACTTACCAGCAATAAAATCTCTCTAATTGCAACTTAACTGGTTTTTTTTTTTCAGCTATGTATTTTTTCATTTTTAATTTATTTTCATTTTATAAACATTGTGGTCATGAGAATACTGGAGTTATTTAATAAGAGATGGCAATTATTCATTTATTTATTTGCTCAGAAAGTAGAAAGTTTCATGAAACTTTAAAGCCTGGGAATTTCTAAAGATAACTCCATCTCCGTATGTTTTTTGGAGGAAATGATTTTTGTCTTTTCCAAACAATGACACTTAACACAATAGAAAGTTGGCACATTTTTGGTAAACAGAATTTTCCTGGTAGTGTGAAGTCTACTGTGTATTTTTTTTTTTTTTTTTTTTTTGAGACGGAGTCTCGCTCTGTCCCCCAGGCTGGAGTGCAGTGGCCGGATCTCAGCTCACTGCAAGCTCCGCCTTCCGGGTTCACGCCATTCTCCTGCCTCAGCCTCCCGAGTAGCTGGGACTACAGGCACCCGCCACCGCTCCCGGCTAATTTTTGTATTTTTTTAGTAGAGACGGGATTTCACGTGTTAACCAGGATGGTCTCGATCTCCTGACCTCGTGATCCGCCCGTCTCGGCCTCCCAAAGTGCTGGGATTACAGGCTTGAGCCACCGCGCCCGGCCTACTGTGTATTTCTTTTGTGCCAGACTTCTCAGTATCATTTTGATCTGTAAAACATCAACGTTTCCTGTATTGTATTATATTTAAATCTTTGGAGAGTCTAGACACAAAGAAATTTTTATTTTAAAGAGTAATGAATAATAAAAAACCACAAAATCTTTATTGTAATATTTGGGATTATGATTGGCTGCAGGGAAAAAAAGCACAAAGCAGATGACACATAGAAGACATATAACATAAATGTTTGACTTTGATATCCCCAGAAGGTATATCTCAGACATTAAAAAAGACAGGAGGCTAAAAATTGTAACACACAAACAAAAATCATTTCTCTAATTTTTGAATTATGTGTCCAAAGAAAAAAATTAAAACTTCAACCACCCATTGGTGTGAGAATTGTTAAGAAAAAAAATTCTAGCTTTCCACAGATCCATTTGGCTCTCCTGTAAAGACTGAAATCTGAGAATGTTAACAACAGGTTATCACTGAGGACAATTATTGCACCTGAGAAGGAAAGAAAAAGATATGCTTTATTCCATTGCAGACACTGAATGGAGAGCTCTGAGCATCATAGGTAAACCAACTCTGTATCACTTTGAAATACATATTTGAGGCTGCTGCATGCAGCTCTCCCGATAGCCGCGGTCATTGGTGCCAATGCTCAGGCGCCCGCTGCCCTTGACCTCCGGCCCCCCAAGCCCTAACCCAGCACAGTAGGACCAGCCACTGCCGCCAGGCTCTGATGCTGGTCTCTGGTAGAAGAAGGTTGCTCACAGCTCTGCTGCAGGCTCAGAAGTGGCCCTTTCAACCCTCCAGAGACATAAGACTAGTGCAGTTCCAGGCACCCCACCTGGTGGGGCCTCACTTTGGCCTGGAGACGGGGAATGGTGGAGGGGTTATCAACCGCAATGCCTTTGACTCTATGCTCCCCAAGATGATGACACAGTTCCTAGAGCAGGGAGAGGCCACCCTCTCAGTGGCAAGAAGAGCCTTGGGTACCCAGTTGCCAGTCCTATCACGGTTGGAAGTAACCTTCCTGGCTCCAGCCACGTGGCCAGATAAGGTGCTTTGTGTGGGCATGAATTATGTGGACCACTGCAAAGAACAGAACATGCCTGTGCCCATGGAACCCATTATCTTCAGCAAGTTTGCCAACTCCATCGTGGAGTCCTATGATGAGATGGTCCTCCCACTGGAGAGCCAGGACGTAGACTGGGAAGTGGAGTGGCCGCGGTCACTGGAAAGAAAGGCAAGCACGTCAAGGCCACAGATGCCATGGCCCATGTGGCTGGCTTCACTATGGCTAATGACGTGAGTGCTCATGACTGGCAAATGAGACATAAGGGGCAACAGTGGCTGCTGGGAAAAACCTTCGACACCTTCTGCCCTCTGGGCCCGGCCTTGGTAACCAAGGACAGTGTAGCAGATCCACATAACTTAAAGATCTGCTGCCAAGTGAACGGGGAAGTGGTCCAGAGCAGCAACACTAACCAGATGGTGGTTAAGACAGAGGAGCTGACAGCCTGGGTCTCCCAGTTTGTCACCTTTTACCCAGGGGATGTCATCCTGACTGGGACCTCCCCAGGTGTCGTTGTATTCAGGAAACCTCCTGTCCTTCTCAAGAAGGGGGATAAAGTCCAGTGTGAGACTGAAGAACTAGGTGTCGTCATCAGCTAGGTGGTGTGATGGCTCCTCCACAGTCCCCAGTCATAGGATGAGGGCATCTGCTCCCACTCACCCTAGCCCAGGGAAAGGTCAAATGCCAGGTGTGGGCAGGTGTCAGCCTCGCAAGCCTCCTCTTCTAGGTAGAAGGGAGGACAGAGCTCTCTTCAATAAATTCATTGGGCCAAAGCAAGAAAAAAAAAAGAGAGAGAGAAATATGTATTTGACTTCTACAGCAGTTCTGGTGCAATGACATCTTTGGTGTTGGAGGAAAAGGTTGAGAGCGACTGCCTGATGGGGTTTGGCATATTAATAATTGCTCACATCATCCCTACTGGATTTCTTTAAAATATGCCACATATTACACACCCTCTAGGATATGCCTTCTGCCTAACCAGCAATCTTAATTTCTGTCCTGATAAAACCCTGATTCAAGAATGAGGTAAAGCACTAAAGACACATTCCTGACTTTTTCTATAAGAGTGAACACAGATAAACATACATTACAAGATTCAAAGATTGAAATGCTCAAAAGAACAAAAACCATAATGTATCTTACACAGTTATTACAATCTATTCTGTAATCCTTGTGAGATAGTGTTTCACATATCATTTGCGAAGTGTTAATCCTTAGTACATATGCAACACTAAATTGCATGTAATAAGTAATTTTTCTGGGGAAAATATTATTTAATTGTTTTAAAACATTTACATACCTATATTTACAAATAGTTTCCTAAATTATGGTGCTACGTTGATTTTATAAGATTTTATTTGTAATGGAAGAAGAAATAGAAATAATAATAAGAAATTTGTAAGGGCATGAAAGCACTTTGAAATAATATTTATTTTACGACAATTTACTCAGAAAATTCAAACCAAAGTGGGCAGGGGGTAAGGCATTTTGTTCAGATCTAAGAAATGGTGCTAAATATTGCATGAGGTTGTTTGTAGTGTCCTCTTTTATTTAAATCTCTGCTTTAATTATAGTCATTTTTAATTTTTTTTGCATTTCCTTTAATTCTGCTAGTTTCGCCTATTTTATTAGACTTCAAAAAAATTGGCTTTCATTTGCATCAATCCTTTTTTTTTTTTTTTTTTTTAAGACAGGGTCTCATTTTGTTGGCCAGGCTGAAGTGCAGAGTAGCCCAATCATAGCTCACCGCAACCTCAATCTTTTGGGCTCCAGGGATCCTTTTGCCTCAGCCTTCTGAGTAGCTAAGACAACAGGTGTGCACCACCATGCCTGGCTAATTTTTAACTTTTTTGTTGAGATGTTAAGTCTCATTACATTGTCTAGGCTAGTCTCAAACTCCTGGCCTCAAGCAATCCTCCTGCCTCAGCCTCCCAAAGTGCTGGGATTACAGATATGAGCCACCATGCCTGGCCTCATCAATCCTTTTATCTTTGTTTTATGTTTAATTAACATTTATTCTTCATTATTCCTTCCTTTTTTCTTTCCTGTTCATTTCATAGTTCTTTTACTAACTTAAGTCTGTTGCTTAGATAACAAATTCTTTTATAATATCATATTCATGCCTATAAACTTCCTTCTATGAGCATTTTTAGCAGCATCTCACAAGATTTGATGTTTAGGACTTTCGTCATCCCTGAATTGTAGGTAATTTACATTTTTATCATAAATTCATTTTCATCCATGAATTGTGTGTTAAAACTTTTTTAAGTGTCAAAGTGTTTTTTTAACCTTATCTTTCTGTTTTTTATTTCTAACTCAACGCACTGTAATCAAAGCATATATTTATAGTTATTCTTAGAAATCTGCCAAGACTTGCTATATAGTCATAGTTGATCACTTTTCACAAAATCTCATGCTTTAAAAATTTATATTATGAGACTATTGATTGGAAGGTTCTACATATCTTTATTAAACTAAGCTTGTTAATTTGAATAAAGGTTATGTATAAACTTTTTCTATATTTTTATTAATTTTTTGTCTGCTTAATAAATACTAACGTCTTATTTTTGTTGGGTTTTCTCCCACTATGATGGCGATTTATCAATTCCTTCTTACCTCTGCCCATTAATGCTTCATATATTTGGGGGGAGGTTATGTACGGTATGCATTTATATATGTAGAATCTTATTTGTGAATTTCACATTTTAGTATTATAGATTGACATTCCTTATCTCTAGTAAGCTCTCTGATAATGATTGTTTTGATTTGAAAGTCATTTTTGTCTGACATTCTTTATTTCTGGTAACCACTCTAGTAATTATTCTTTTGAGAATATTCTTTTGAGAATTATTGAGAGTCAGTTATATCTGACTTTTGATTAGTATTAGTTTGGTGTATTTTTTTCCATCCTTTCCATTTTAACATTTCTGTGTCCTCTTGTAGGCAGCATTTATCTGAATTTATTTATTTTATCAGTTTGGTAATCTCTGATATTTAATTTGCAAGTTATTTGTTTATATTTAGTAGGATTTGGATTTTTTTCTATCTCCCAATTAGGTAAAAGTTTATCCTGATTTTTCTATGTTACCTTTTGTTTTCTCTTTTATTTTAGTTTATTTTCGAAATTCTGTCTTTTCCCTCTTCTACCAGATTGGAAATTACACATTCAAATTCCATCGTTTTAGTGGCTAATCTTAAAATTTTAACATGCATATTTACCTAAAAGTCTAACTTTGGCTTATATTTCTGTTTTCATGAGTAACACAAAAATATTTTAACTTTCCTCATCTCAAATTTTAAATACTATCATTATCCAGTATTTTAGTTTCACCCTCATATTTTACTTTCTTTGCTCATTATTATTTCTTTTCTGGATTGAATCTTCTTCAAGTATTTTCTTTCAGTTCTTTGTAGGTAATATTCTATTGATTTTTGGCTTCTAGTTTTGCTATAGAAAAGCGTTTTTTTTTTTTTTTTTTTTGATTAGTTACTCTGGTGGGATATTACTTTCTTTGGTGCTTTTTCAGCTCCAGAGATGTGTCTAGCTGTGAATTTACGTTTACCTATTCAGCCTAGGATTTATTGTGCTTTTTAGATCTTAGAGCTCAAGTTTTCCATCAGTTTTGGAAAATCCCTAGCTATTATATCTTCAAATATTACTTCTTTTCTCATATCCTCTTCTTTCTCCTTCTAAAACACCTGTTACAGTATATTGGATATCAAATCTATCCTCTATGTCTCTTAAATATTTTCATATTTTTGATCATTTTGATCTTCTAGGTATTTTCCTTAGCTTTATATTTGAATCCATTAATTATTCATTTAGCTGTGTCTTGTTTGTTGCTAAACCTATCTAATAAGATTTTTTAAAATTTTAATGTCTTTATAATGTTTATTTCTAGTACTTGTTGGTTGGTTTAAAATCTTCTTAAGTTCTAGGGTATATGTGCACAATATGTAAGTTTGTTACATATGTATACATATGCCATGTTGGTGTGCTGCACCCGTTAACTCGTCATTTACATTAGGCATATCTCCTAATACTATCCCTCCCCCATCCCCCACCCCACAACAGGCCCCAGTGTGTGATGTTCCCCACCCTATATCCAAGTGTTCTCATTGTTCAATTCCCACCTATGAGTGAGAACACGTGGCGTTTGGTTTTCTGTCTTTACAATAGTTTGCTCAGAATGATGGTTTCCAGCTTCATCCAAGTCCCTACAAAGGACAAGAACTCATCCTTTTTTATGCTGCATAGTATTCCATGGTGTATATGTGCCACATTTTCTTAATCTAGTCTATCACTGATGGACATTTGGGTTGGTTCCAAGTCTTTGCGATTGTGGATAGTGCTGCAATAAATATACGTGTGAATGTATCTTTATAGCAGCACGATTTATAATCCTTTGGGTATATGCCCAGTAATGGGATGGCTGGGTCAAATGGTATTTCTAGTTCTAGATCATTGAGGAATCACCACACTGTTTTCTACAATGGTTGAACGAATTTACAGTCCCACCAACAGTGTAAAAGCGTTCCTATTTCTCCATATCCTCTCCAGCACCTGTTGTTTCCTGACTTATTATAAATGATTGCCATTCTAACTGGTGTGAGATGGTATCTCATTGTGGTTTTGATTTGCATTTCTTTGATGACCAGTGATGATGAGCATTTGTTCATGTGCCTGTTGCCTCCATAAATGTCTTCTTTTGAGAACTGTCTGTTCATATCCTTTGCCCACTTTTTGATGGGGTTGTTTGATTCTTGTAAATTCATTAAAGTTCTTTGTAGATTCTGGATATTAGCCCTTTGTCAGATGGGTAGACTGTTAAAATTTTCTCCCATTCTGTAGGTTGCCTGTTCACTCTGATGGTAGTTTCTTTTGCTGTGCAGAAGCTCTTTAGTTTGATTAGATCCCATTTGTC